TCGGAGCCGGGCGTGCGGGATGCGCTCCGGCCTTTTAAGTGGGAAGCGGGAAACCACGCCCGCCGGTGAGAACGCGACCCTGGGATCGGGGGGCAGAGAGGCGGGGGCGCCAGAGTGATGAGAAAGGGAGTAAGCGAGGACCCCCCGCCCCGTGCGGACGCGCTAGGAGGTCCAGCGCCTGGTTGGAGAGCCTCCCCGAGAGTGGGTAGGTGAGGATGCAGCCTCCGGCTGGCGGCAACTTTTCTCCCCACCACCGGGATCGGCTTGCGTGTTGTTTGTGGGGACGCGCGAGCATTGGACGCTGGGCGCGCGAGGGGTGCGGGCGCGTCGTGTCGCGCGGGCGCTTGGAAAGCCTGGAACTTCTCCGCGCATTCTGGAATGTCAAGGTGTTTTCGGGCTCTCCTCCTCTCCACGTAGCTTATGACCTCATAATCCCTGAACTTGCCTCCCCTGAAGAGTGGCAGAGGTTAGTGGAAGGCTTTTGCGGTGGTCTGGACCTATTTCCTCTTGTCAATGAAATCTTTTTTTCTGCATCCTTGGAGAATGTCGGATTTTTTTTTTCTTAGCCAAGTGTTTGCAGCATTTTATATTCTTTTTTCTTTTTTTCCCCCCTAAGCTCAAAGATGGCATTTGCTTTGAGGGTTGTGTTTTGAACCCTCGACTAGGCAGAAATGTTTAGGAACAGCGGGCGGGCACACCTTGGGTAGGTACCCAAGAGGAACCTCCTTTGCACGTGATCTGCATGATGAGGTTAACTTTACACAAAAGCATCCTCAAGTCTCTTAGATGGAAGGGGTTTAAGGGATCATTTCTCTCCCACCGCTGTCCTACCCCTCAAACCTCCTCCCCCCCCCCAAAAAAAACTTTTTTGGGGGGGAAAGACCTTTCTCTTTCTTGATATAGAATGATGAGTTGTCTGCAGCCAGTGGAGTGGTTGAAATTGTGCTCAGGGGTTTCCGACAATGGAGTCTGTGTGGAAAGGGCGAGGAAAGGAGGCAGTAAAGTTAGAGCAGCTAGCAGTGTTTTCTCTTCCCAGCACATTATCCCAAAACACAAAAGGTGATTGCAGCTACCTTGGAGAGCTACCAAGTAAAGCGTCACCTTACTGATAGATTTTGTTTGGTAATCCCAGTTTTCTTCAACCTTCACAGTTTTTCAGCGGTTCTGATACCCAGGAAGATGGCGACTCCACTAAGGTCAGGTAGCTAGATGGCTGAGCAAGGGGTGGGGCAGAGGACTGTTGATCCTTGTCCAGTGCTTACCATGACACTAGCCATAAAAGCAAGTTTATTACATTTTCCTAAACACCGATGTGTTAATTTATACTTTAAATTCAGTGCAGTGACATACTGTTCACAGAGATTTGAGGGTAAGATCTTCTGCAGCACAATTAGTTTCTGACTTCTGTAAGGTTGATTATGAGTTTGTTTTTTCAAGTTTGGTATATGTAGATCATGTAAATTAAACGCCATTTAAAAACTCGTGGCTTTAAAAAACTGCAGACAATGAGTATTACAAAAATCGATATACTCTGCTTTTTTAAAGTATAACTCTTGTGTTTATTTACCTAGATGATAATACATTACAGCATGGACAATATAATAAGTGGAGTTAAAATGTCACGCAACATTTCAAAGTGAGAAAACTAGGACATAAGGATGTATGAGTTTGTGACTATAGAACTATCTTTCAATTAGATTTCAGTTCTTGTTGCCCAGTTAAAAGAAATGAAAAAGTTACTTTTAACAAATTACAAGATTGTGTTTCAAAATATATTCTAGATATATTTCTAAAAGTATGTCCTAGAGCTCCACGTTTTATTAAAATAGCAGTTATCATGTGTGTGGAATATAATGAAAGTCAAAAACTTTACCTCTGTTGATCTTTGCAGCTATATGTAATGTTAAGAAAGCTTACAGACATGACATATTTTGTTCAGGTGGCTTAGTAGAAATTAACTGATGTCAGTTAAACATAGTAGGATAGAAATCCATGAGAAAATACAGGAAGACCAATTTGCCAACATAGTTCTTTAATGCTTACCTTTTTATTGAAGACAAATTATTGGTTTCTTGTCATATGAATTTTTAGCCCTGTACAATTGCCAGTTGAATGGTGGGGGTATAGAGGTTTTAAGTTTCTCTTTGTCTTAATTGAGTAGCTTTTTCATTAGTAAAGAATTCTATTTTCTTATTATAGCTTGGTGTGTGCCTTGCCTAGTTTCACTTGATACTCTTCAGGAATTATGTAGAAAAGAAAAGCTCACATGTAAATCGATTGGAATCACCAAAAGGAATCTAAACAATTATGAGGTGGAATACTTGTGTGACTACAAGGTAGTAAAGGTAAGGCAAATATCTAGCCCCTTAAAAGAGACTTAACCAGACTTCAGTATTTCATATTTCTGTAACATAAAAAGAAACTTAAAAGTAAGCAAAGCTCTTCCTAATGTTTTAAATTCTTAAGCCATGATAAATTTATGTCCTATCATCTATATTGCCAAATAACACTGAGAAGATTTTGAAGCATAAAATGTTCTTGCATTAGAATATTGTAAGGTACTTATATCACTCTGCATCCAACTCTTGATTATCTCCATGTGGATTACTAGAGTAAATGTGTGATCTCAGATTGGCTTCTGTCATTCATTTTGTTCCTGGATCATGTTTCCCCACTATCACCTGAAATGAACCTAGAGTTTCAAACCATGTTACTGAATTTCCTCAAGAAGCATCACCATTGTTGCCATCATGTCAAACTCCAGACACTAGTGAAGTTCTAGGATGTAAAAGAATGGCCTGGATATCAAAGTTAGTACCTTATGATTTCAGCAGACTCATTTAACTTCTCTGGGCCTCCCTTTATTTCTTTTAAAAAATGACAGAGTTCTTCTAAGAAGCATTTTTGATCTAAACCTTGCAGCTATATTTTGAATAATTCATCTATCTATAACCTACCTCCCTCTCCAGTAACTCTGCATTGTTCATTAATCTGTTAGTTCTTTCAGACAAATGAGTCAGGAATCCTATTTAATTCTTTGTTTTCCTTTTCCTTTATCTTCTATATTGAATCAGTTGCTAAGTGTAATTCTTCCTTTGAAATGTCCATATTCCTTCAGTATTACTGCCTTCCCCACTCATTGGGATCTTATGATCAAGCATTTCAACTATACTCTCAGCATACTTCAGCTGCTCAAACAGCACAGTCATCTGCCATCTCAATTTACACAGTATAAACTGACCAGTCTAGCTGAGAATATCATTAAAACTTACAAGGAATTTATTTATAAGAAATTATGTATTGGCCGGGCTCGGTGGCTCAGCCTGTAATCCTAGCACTTTGGGAGGCCGAGACAAGTGAATTGCCTGAGCCTGTGGGTTCAAGACCCACCTGGGCAACTTGGCAAGACCTCGTCTCTACAATAAATAAAAAATTAGCTGGGCATGGTAGCGCGTGCCTGTAGTTCCAGCTACTTGGAAGGCTGAGGCGGAAGGATCGCCAGAACCCAACAGGTTGAGGCTGCGGTGGCCGGAGTGTGCCACTGCACTCTAGTCTGGGCGACAGAGTGAGACTCCAACTCAAAAAAAAAACAATAAATTATTTATTCTTACTTGTTTATACTTCAGTCACCTTCAAAGTACTCTTTGTTTGATGCAGTACACCTATTGAGATGCTTTTTCCATGACCCAAAACAGTTTTTGAACTTGTTGATTTTGATGCCTTTTAGTGCTTTTGCCATTTTTTGTTTCACCTCTTCCACATGGGCAAAATGTTTTCCTTTAAGGACTTTTTCATCCAGGAAAACCACAAAAAGTTGCTTGGGGTGAGATGAAATGAATAGGGAGGATGGATTGCAGGGCATGCCCTTTTTGATCAAAAACTGCTGAATACTCAGTGCAGTGGGTGGGCAGGTGTGCTTGTAAGTCACCCACCTTGAAATGGGCAAATGCATTTAAAGAATCTCCAAAAAAAAATTCACTGGCCAGACACGGTGATCCCAGCATTTTGGGAAACCAAGGTAAGAGGATTGCCTGAGCCCACAGGTTTGAGACCAGCCTGGGCAACTTGGCAAGACCTCATCTCTACAATAAATAAATAAAAAAATTAGCTGGGCATAGTGACGTGTTCCTGTAGTTCCAGCTACTTGGAAGGCTGAGGTGGAAGGATCACCTGAGCCCAGCTAGTGGAGGCTGCAGTGACTGTGAGCGTGCCACTGAACTCCAGCCTGGGCATCAGAGTGAGAGACTCCAACTCAAAAAACAACAATTCACTGAAGCCAAACACAACCTCTTACAGTGTTAGCTGGTACGCTGATGCGGATGGGTTCCCAAGAACACCCACCCAGTGAGGTAAGCCTGTACTACAAGGGTCCTGCCCTCAAAGAAATAATTCTGGGATTTTTTTGCTCCCCACCCCCCCGGATTTCTCTTCTACCCAGTTTCTATTCTGCTCAGTTCTACTTGATAAGCTTTTTACCTATTGCTTTCTTTTCCCATCCTGATTGTCAGCAGTTTTCCCAACTTTAAATACTCTTCTGTACTTCTTCCTCTGCCCCTTCCTTATGTTCATCTGAAGACCTCTTCTCCACCTCAGTCAAAAACAGCATCCTTCAAGTATGAGGTCTCAGCTTATCTTCATCCCCACCTATCTGTCTGTACTCATTTTACTTTCAGAAATGTCACCAATTTCTCTTTTTCCTTCCTGATTACTCCTTCTAGAACTTTGCTTAATCTGTGGTGTCATTTTTATATCAAGCTCTTTTTTTACTGTTGTGTCTTAATTGATAAATGTATTCAGATCTTCCCTAACCTTCAGAAATCTTCCTTTGACCTTGCCTCCCAACTCATGCAAGTGTTTTCTGCCTTTTCCTTCTACTTCACTTCCCATTAACTTTTTAAACAGCTTATTTGAGATATAATTCACATATCATCGTACAGTTTACCCATTTAAAGGGTACTATTAAAATCTTTATTATACTCAGAATCAATCAATTTTAGAATATTTTTTGTTTCCTGAAAAAGAAAGCCCCACACCCTTCAAGCCTCTTCAGTTAACCTTTCATCTCTAACTCTAGGCAACCACTGAATCTACTTTCTGTAGATTTGTCTATTTAGATATTTTGTTTAAACGAAATCATATAATATGTGGTCCTTTGTGATTGACTTCTTTCGCTTAGCATATTTTCATGGTTTATCCATGTTGTAGCATATACAAGTACTTCATTTTTATTACCAAATAATATTCCATTGTATGACTATATTATGTTTAATTTATCCATTCATTGCTTTATGGACATCTAGGTTGCTTCCATTTGGAGGCTGTTATAAATAATGCTGTTGTGAACGTTTGTGTACAAGTATCTGTGTGGACATAAGTTTCATTTCTCTTGTATATACCTAGGAGTGAGATTGCAGGGTCATATAGTAACATGTTTAACTGTTTGAGAAACTGCCAAACTGTGTATGAGAATTTCATTTCTTCATATTCTGGCCAGTACATTTTTTCTTTTGAGTCGGGGTCTCACCCTGTCACCCAGGCTGGAGTGCAGTGGCCTGATCATGACTCACTGCAGCCTTAGCTTCCTCAACTTCTCCGGCTCAGGCATTCCTTCTGCCTCAACTGCCTGAGTAGTTGGGACTGCAGAGGTGCTACACCCAGCTAATTAAAAAAAATTTTTTTGTAGAGCTTACTATGCTGCTCAGACTGGTCTTGAACTCCTGATCTCAAGAGCTACTCCTGCCTGGACTTTCCAAAGTGCTGGTATTACAACCGTGAGCCACCATCATCTATCAAACTTTTTGATGATAGAAGTCTTAGTGGATATGAAGTAGTATCTCATTGTGGTTTTGGTTTGCATTTCCCTGATGACTAATGTGCTTACTCACCATTTGTATATCTTTGGAAAACTTTCTATTCAGATCCTTTGCCCATTTTAAAAAAAAATGGGTTGTTTGTCTTTTTATTATTGAGTTGCAATGGCTCCTTATATATTCCGGATACAAATCCCTTATTAGATAAATGATTTGCAAAAATTTTCTCCCATTCTGTGGGTTGTCTTTTCACTTTCCGTGAACTTTTGAACACACTTTAATCCTGATTTGTGCTCCTATCAGTAACCTTCTAATTGCCAAATTTGAAGACCTCAAATCTTAACTACTTTGCCATTTTTAACCTTTGCACTCGAACACTCCCTCTGAGGGGACATCTTAAATCTAACAAGCCACTGAGATATCCTCTCTCAGGGGACATAATGAGATCACTGGTAATTATACAGGACAAACCTATGCAAGCACAAATTTTTCAAAAATGTATGTTTCCTTGAAGTTTTCCATTCAAATTACACAAAAAAGCAAATAAAGAGATGGAGTATTTACTGAGATATACATTAAAAAATTTGCTGGCGTCATGCAGAAAGATAATGCGTGAAGTGCTCTGACAGTGTTACCCACAAGTTCTCAATGCAGCAGAATAATCACGTTTACTGAAAGATACTATACTGCATTGTCTGCTTGAATAGAAAAATATCAGGTGGGAGACATCCAACAAATTGCTATTGCACAGCATGTATCAATGAACCTGCAGTGCACATCAGTGATTGTTTCACAAGTTACCATGTTAGAAAAATATAAGATAAAATTTTGATTTTTTTTCATTATAAACCAAATGTAATTACAATAAAATAATTGGTTCCAGTAATCTACTATTTAATAAGAAATGGTTCGTTTTTCACTATTTTGTAAAAAAAAAGTATAGTTGAGTTGCTGGTAGGTAATCTATGAGATGTATCTGAATACAAAGTGTTAACATTGTTGACCAGCTTTTCTTCTTTGAAACTCTCTTGTCTGTGGAGAACTGCCTAGGTTTAATTCTGGCTCTTACCAGTTATTAGTTGTGTGACCTTTAGCAAGTTACTTTAGCTTCTCTGTCCTTCAGTTTCTTCATCTATGAAATTAGGATAGTTACAGTACCAATCTTGTAGAGTGCTATTAGAATTAAATGAGTTGATATATATAGAATGCTTAGAACAGAGGCCAGCGTGTAACTATTCAATATCAGTATGTTTACTGTCATTATTGTGAATTCTATCCTCACTTTTTTTTTCTGCCTACTTTTCTTACTATTTTTAAAGAATCTTCTTTACTATCTCTTATCTATCCTTCTTCTGAAATGTAGATCATCTTCAGGGCTCTGTTCTTGGCCCTCTTTTCTTGTAATTGCTCTTGAAGTGGCCTCTTTCCCCATGGTTTCTACTTACATCTGTTCAGCTCATGACTCCCAAATTTTCCTGAGGCCTTGTCCTTTTTCTTGGCTTCATTTCAAACTGGATACCCTACACATACCCAGG